CTCCTGACCTCTGGGGAGCATTTCCGCCCACCTCCTCCCTGCTCTCGTGAGGGCTGGTACTGCTTCCCTTTGGTGAGGCGTGCGATGCTCGCTGGCGTTAATGACATTGCGGGCCTTCTACGGTCTGAGGATGAGCATTCCCCACTCTGGAACGCTCGAAGCACAGCCTTCAGAAGCATAGAGATCTCGATGAGGGAGCCCTGGTGGTGTCGTGGTTACGCGTTGGGCTGTGATCCGTGGGGTCGGCGGTTCAAAACACCACCAGCTCCTCAGGAGAAAGACTGGACTTTCTACTCCCGTCAACAGTGACAGTCTTGGAATCCCACAGGGGGCGCCATGAGTCAGCACCCCCATGGAAGAGGGTAGACCTCCGTGGAGACAATGGCTCCCCACTCTGCTTGCTGAGCGTAAGAGAGGTGTGTATGACTTCAGGGCGGGCCCTTCTGATTCTCAGATCTGCCACTCAGACGGAACCGCTGCTGCTGACTGGTTCCCACCTGCTGGCACCCGTAGCCTATGGCCAGTGTAGAACTTCCCCATGGGTGTCCAAGGCTGCACATCCCGAACCTGCCCCAACTTTCTTCACTGGCAGGGCAGCTGGTGGGCTGGAACCACCGACCTGAGAACTTGACCCTGACGCCATCAAGACTCCTTGCAGAGTGGACCGATTCTGGTTCTTGGGAAAACCCAGATTAAAGCCTGTCCCCACTCTCCTGCTCTGTGTGTCCACAGCGGTGTCCTGCCACCGACCGCCCTGGCTCTGTGCTGCGGCCGTGGGGCACAGCAGGCACCAGGCTAGCACAGGCACAGGGGCTCTGCCTGGTTCATGAGCAATGCCCAGTGAGCCTAAGAGGATGTCTGCACAGAGCTGCATGCCCCAGCTGCCCATGTCTGACTGTGTCCCTGCAGGAGGGTAGAGTGACCAGTCTGACTCATAGCATGTGGGCACCGTGGCACAACGGTGGACTTCCATTCAGGGATCCGGGTGGTCAGTGACACCACTTGATGCAGCAGCTGCCTGCTCTAATCCCCAGCACCTCCATCCTCATGTTCAATTGAAGTCCACGTGCTGTGAGCCCAGGGCACAGCAAGGATGGTGGTGGGGGGGGGCGCAGCCAGGGTGCACACACAGCATGCTCCTGGCTGGTCCTGGGTCAGGTGGGGTTCAAGCCCAGTGGGGACTGACTCGGGGGACGAGTTTCGGAAGCACATGAAGCACACACAGACGATGGGTGGTGACGAAGTCTCTCCAGCTAGGCCCATTTCCCAGCTGTGGGAAGGTCAGCCGTCTCCAG